TCGTATTTAAAGCCGGCCCTGAGAGTCTCCAACTATTCATTAAAAAGCCGCTCGTAATTAATTTTCCTCATTTCAGTACACTATCACACAATATTTGTAATCAATATCAAACCCAAAATAATAACTGAGTTATAATTACATAAAAAAAAGTTATAGAAAGTTGTCTTTTATTAAACTTATGATGGTTCCCTTAAATAATTGTGATAAAACATTTAATAAACTTATTTCTAATGTTCATAATTAAGTGGTATATATTTTAGAATAAAAGATAAGTTTTGTAAAAATAAATGTGTAAGTAGAGTGCCAAAAATAAATAAAATGCCTGGTGAATAAGCATCTGATGAAAGGCCTATCGTTTCCACAGAAAAAAGGTTTAAAATGGAAACATATAACTTGATATTATGATAAATAGTATGGAAAAAAGATTTGTTAACAATATTGTTAGAAGTGTTTCAAATTTGTCTTCACTTAACATTTTTTTTTTCTTGTTTTTAAATTGGCAAACGTAGAAATAATTTTTTCCAAATCAACTTGATTAGTTACATTTCATTCTATATTTAAAATGGAAATATTAAATATTCGATCCTGCCCCATATTGTTCCTCAAATAGTTTTTAATTCATTTAAATTTCGAAAATGACCTTTCTGCCGTTGCAAGTGTTATAGGCAATGAAATATAAATTATACATGCAGTTATTAAATCACAGTAAGTTTTATAAAAATCATTTTTTACTATAAATAAAGCCAGATCCTTAATCGTTTGAATATTAGTGTTTAAAATCCTCTTAAACACAATAATTGTCTGGTAAAATCTGAAGAAATGTCATAATTGTATAAATAAAAAAATTTCATTGAAGCCATAGATATCTCATTCTTATCCATTTTAGCTAACATGGTAGAAAATAAGAAATCAAAATTCTCTGTAACTTCTTGTAGTCCTTGAAACCGTGAATTTAGTTGAAATATGACTGTATCAATCACAGGTAGAAAAATTTTAACCCTGAAATTTTCATCTTATATTTAGGCGACGATCACCATAATATTTCTGGTTAAACAGAGAAAAATAAAATGCCAATTTTATATGTCAGTGAGTGCGTATCGAATCGATCTTCGGGTCGATTTGATTTTCAATCGTAAATCACATTTGAATTTATTGGCCGTAAATTAGCGATACTATACTAATACAGTGCTATGAATTAAATTGTTGTTAGTTTTTAAAATAATTTAATCTACTGTAACAGTACTTGATACATGGTTATTAGTAGGACGCAGATTTCAATGCAAAATGCATTTTTTTTTTTTTTTTTAAATCCTTACGCAATGCTCAGTTTGGCAAAAATATGTTTCAAGTGGTGTAGATTTATAAAATTTAATTTTTATTTTGCATTTTTTTTTTTCACTTTTTGTCGTATTTACTTCTTTAATGCATTTTTGGTATTTTCACTACTTTTAAGGACATTATTTTCATATTTTTTAAAAATTTAGCATATATGGAATGAATTAAAAAATTTCTAGTATTCAATATTTTTCCTAAATCAAATTATTGACAACTACACTTTATCGTCTTATGTTATCGTTATGTCATTAAATCATGGTATAATAGTCGATGACGATAACAGTAATACATGTGTATAGTGATAGGGCCTAGTACAGGGTCTAGCCACACTATTAAAAGTCCCGTATATTAGCTGATAACCGGAGAACATTGACATTTGAACACATCAAACAATATACGAATATATTGTATTGTTGTGCAGTGCACACATACTATGACAAAATACTTGATTATTAATAAAAAAAAAAAAAAATTAAATTTTGACTGTTTATACTTAATACTATTTTTAATTTACTGGTTTAAAATGTTTATTTTAACGTAACCATAACATACCAGAAACAGAGAATCAAGAAACAGCTGGAAAGAATTGATCAAATAAAATAAAAACACTTTAATGCATTTTTAGTAGTCATTTTCCACATTTTTAATACATTTTTTACTTCATTAATTAAATTTTTCACATTTTTTATATATTTTTCCACGTCATTAATTAAATTTTTTAGGTCATAATTGTATTTTTCTATGGCATTTTAAGCTATTTGTAGAGCATTAAAATCCGCGCCCTAGTAATTAGTCTATACATATAATATGTATACTACTGAGTAGACATTATGTTCCAACTAGAGCATAAATCATATATCACTATTGTGAACCTCACTGCTAATGCCGAATATGTTAGACGTGACAGTTCGGCCAAAACGTCCATCTAGTGTGGCTGAACTCCACATTGCTTTGATGTAGAGATCCGTACTAATAAGTTATTTAATGTATTAAACCTAGGGCCGCTAATAATATATACATATATATTAAAATATAGTAAAAATAATCATAATTTATAATTTTCTAGTAGGTACTTACCCTATAACGTATAATAGCAAACTCATTTACACTTCACAGAAATTATATATACTATATTATTATTAATAAGTAATATTATAATAGTTTTATAGTTAATTCAACATCGTACTTGTATCATAAATATAATCACTTATCACTAAAATAACATTATCATAGATAAAATTAAATAATCTATGGCAGTGTTCTCATACTCAAATTATCTATGAGCCATATATTTTTTCAATGAAAGTTCGCGAACCAAATTTTAAGTGTCCTCTTTTTTACTTATACACTAAAAAACTGAGGACAAAATGACTATGACTTATGAAATAGCTTTTGATTTTAATCAAGAAACCAATCCTGGTTTTACACCTAACATTACAGAAGCTCTATCAGTATTAATATTCAAAAAAATTATTCCAATCTACTTCTAATTCATTAAGACACTTTTCTACATAATCGTATAAATTACTACCGGTTATAGTGTCAGTCATAGAAATTAAGTCCAAGAGTTCTTCAATTGTATCAAAATTATCGAAAACTCGGCGAATAAAAATAGTTAACTAGGCGGTATTAATAATAATAGTACTTTTGTCAACAACAATAGAAAAATTTAAAAATTGTTTATTTTTTCCATGCAATTGTTGTTTAACATTATTGCCATTTCTTCAATTCTCCGAGCAATAGTATTTCCACTTAAACTTATATTCATAAAAGCTTATTCATTTTCGGGACATATTACTTCCACCGCACTAACTATACGAGTACACTCTTTAATCAATTCACCGTCAGTAAAAGGTTTTGACGCACGTGCGATTTTTTCCGAATCAATATTCTCTCTTCTTATATTATCAATAAACTTTGTTTGATGCGAAAGATTTTTTTTTAATTTTTCAAATTTTTCTTCGCGTAATTTTCCTACACATTTATCGTAAATCTTACCATCATTTACGTCATGTCTTATTATGTTATGCTCCTTCATGACAGATACACTTTGTTTACAGATGTATGCATAGCCCTATTTTTCTTGGTCAATTTTTAAAACTACAACCACCCCCTAAAAATTTGCTAACCAGTACAATTGTACTTGTTTTACCTCCCTAAATGCGGCCTTTCTGATAATAATATATTTATTTTAAGTAACATATAAAACAGGATGTAACATACCTACAGTAGCGTGGTAAAGAGGTTTTTATGATGTTTTGGGGTCATAGTAAAAACGTTATGGAGTGGGTGTGTGGTTGAATTTAAATGTGTAAAGATTTTGGACGATAACACAAGTAGTAAATTTCCAAATTTGAACAAATCAACAACAAGAAACACAAATGCAGTGGAATGCACGATGGCTAACAAAAATATAACACGATAATAAGATGAATATTCTGTATTTTAAGTTAATTAACATTGTTTTAGAATATACTAAAAGTTATATAAAGTACCTATAATAGAAATATTAAAGAATATTAAAATATAAATGGTAATAGTTATATAATACATAGTAAAATCAATGGTATTAGTCAATTATAACATAAAAGAGAGAAAAGCCTTATAGAATTTGCTAATTTTAAGTTTGAGACGGTTAAATTTAAGTAGGTACATACTTCCATCATTAAGAGTTTTTAGTTTTCTTCAATTTGTTTTTGAAAAAATGTCAATGGTGGGTAGGTACCATTAATTATAAATAGTACTATTTATAATCAATGGTAGGTACTGAAAAATGTTATGCTCAGTGTCGTCCCTAAACCCTTTTATTGTCGGAGGGGGGCGAACTTCATGCATTTAAAAACTTTATATATTTTCTTTGTATTATATACATAGTAAATAAGAAACATTTTAAGATAGAAAGGCCATGGGAGGGGGGAGCGATTACTAATAGTATGTTGAAATGTTTAGGTGGGAATATTAAAAAGTTGCTATACACTCCAATACTACATTTAACTATACATTCAAACCATTTTTAGTTGACTGTTATATAACAAAACGTGTAGTGATAGCAATTTCACAGTGAATATTGTTGTACATTTAAAAATAAATAAAACATTTTTTCCAATGGTCATTGAATGAGATTTCCATAAATACAATTCAAGGGAGATGTCAAGACACCAAGTACACCTTCCTTGGTTGTATGTTGAAACATTGTTTGCATGTCTTGTTGCAGTAAGACCTTCGTCATAAGCAGTATAATTTCCTTACACCTAAATATATTAACTATTTTAACTTGACAAATTTTGGATTCCGAATTAATTTTAAGTACAAGGCCCAAGAAAATTGACTAAGTTGCATGCCTACTAATGATGGAACTGAGTATAGTAATAAGTTTAGAGATAAAATCACCAACAGTTTAATTTATAACAAAGATAATTAAAGTACAATACATTTATTGTGAATAAAAATATTTAATAAAACAAAAATTATAATATTGCAGATATAATTTTTAACAGGCTACTATAATAGTGGAAAATATTAAAATTTTGTTTTATATATATATTTAGTGTAACACAAACATGATATCTTATAAAAATATAATAATTAAAATTATTAAAAAGTTATTTTTAAAATTCATTTTATTAATAATATAAAATGAAATAACAAACATAAAAAATATTAGCTATGTCTTTGGTTTTACACTTGTTTGAATATAATGAAAAATAACGTTTTTTATAAAGATGTGTTACAATTATTATTTATTATTGAATACAAATTATTTAAACTTAATATGCTATATCAGTGGTTCCCAACTTCAGATTACAACCTAAATCTAGACCGTGGAGGTTTTTATAGCAGATCATAGAAGCATTTTAAATATTATATTTCATTTTATTTCATACTTCAAAATGCAGTTACAATAAAAATATTGACAAAGAAAATATAATAAAAGGTTTATATATATAACATAATTTGTATTTTTATTCATATTTTTCCTGGATGTCACAAACTTATGATCAACAGTCCTTTATACATCCCTTATATGTCTCTTATAGTATACAGAAATTCATTAAATAAACAATTTAAGATTAATGTGTTGCTAATGTAACTCAATAATAATGACTTTTTTTTATTTGTGTGTTATTTCAACATTGATTGATATTATTAACCTCTGTATTATACGAAAATGGTAACTTTGAAGAAAATTGAAATAAAAATTACTGGTTATCATTTATATACATTTTTTAGTAGGGTACCCTCATAACTTTTCAGTCAATATGAAAGTTCTTTATTTTAATATCTTGCACTATAGCTTCATCCCATGGTCCGTAAATATTGTCTTTGAATGAATGCCATTTAACAAAATAATATGGGCATACCAAATTAATGAACACAATAGTACAGACAAATAGTCCACTTAATAATGATGAAACTCTAGTACATAGTATAAAGGTAATGGTTATAAATGACAATAATACAGTAAAGGAAGATTTAATCGAAGATAAAAGTATTGGTGATACTGCAAAACACTGCACTGCTATTGTAATAAACACAAATACATGAAATGCTGTTTGTAATCTTGAACACAAACAAATAGAACCAAATAAAGCTGCATTCAATGATAGCGATGTTGACACTATAACTGCTGATACACCATAGTCAAAGAATACTAAATGTATACACATCATTACTGTAGCTGTAGCATAAATAGTATCTGTACTAATCGTTTCAGTTAATGTTTTCAATACCGGTGATAAAATATAACCAGATACGACAAATGCACACGCTGACTTCATCAACCAAAATGGGAATGCCTTGAAACTTTCATAGAGTAATAGATAAATTACAAAACTAAAGCTTGTAGAAGAAATTAGCAATATTAGTGGAGAAATTTGATTGCAATTCAGAGCATAAAATGATAAAGCAAATATTACCACAATACATAATCTTTGAGTAACCAAACCAGCTCCAAGGATTGCTTCTAAAAGGGTGAATTTCCGTACATGAAGGTTTTTCCTTAGTTCTTCCAAGAACGATTTATCAGTATAGTTGTCAGGATAACCTTCATTGGAATAAAGATTCTTTTTCCATGGTTTAAGGTGATCATTTCGAATAGTTCCATTTTGAAATTTTACTTTAGTGAAATATGGAGATTTAACAACACAGTTATCTAAAATTAAAACATAATACAAAAACAATAATAATAATGAATTGTACTGAGCTTTAAAAAAAAAAGTCTTTTACAGCTCTATACATTTTAATATTTTAAAGTAGCACCACTTAGTTTTGTAATTTGAAATATTTAAAAAATTTAAACGCGCAGTTATAATTAAGTAATATATATTATTAAGAATAATTTAAGTTGATATAGTTTTTCATATTTTAATAAACAAACAAAACTATTAGTGTTAATTCAAAACAACTCGCATAATGTGTTGGAACGACAAACACTTAGAAACTAGACGATTACATTGGACTACGCTGGCACTTTTGCTGTGTGTTTATCAGATACCGTGAAATTTTACTTACGTTTACTAGACGACTGGCACGCCAAGTTAGAGACATCAGTCACACATGACATCAAGGGATGGCAATTGATCAGGCACATATGTGTTCCAATTTAACTACAGCTCAGGGCAATGCGAACGAAATCAATTATTAGACAGCAGCATGGATACAAACTGACATTCATGATAACCGTTTTCTAAAAAACCAGTCAGACAAAATAACATAATAGTTATCTCATGGGCAGCTCAGGCTTCTGAAACACCATTTAATTTAAAAATAGTTACTTAACACCACTCGGACTGGATGAAGGCGGTTACTTTTTCCACAGAACACTATATCCAAAGTCTTTATGCACCTAGGGACGGATCATGATTTAACCCTTTCTGTTCCTTTGACCATTGCAATGGACATATATTTTAATCATTAATCGTAAAGCGTCTGTAATAAATAACGATGTAAAACTTGAAATATATTACTCAGATTGTTTAATATTTAAATATATTCAATTACTTTATATAACGATAACATGTATTAAAATATAATTTTTAAGCGATTTATTAAAAAAAAATCGATTATATTTATTCATTGATAAGCAACCAATGTAATCAATTTTTGATTTTATAATCATATTTATTTGGGAGCACTGGAATTACCGACTGATACGTGTATGGCACAAGGCACTCAAGGGCTAATCTTCATAGCTAAAATGTACAGGACTGGACGAGAGATAATTGTTATGTTTACGAAATGTTATTCGTTGGGCGAAGTAGGTACGGGGCAATTTTATCTGTTGGCGTTACTCACGCCATCTACCTGTATATCACATATGCTTATCTATTTTTATTTTTTCCCGCCTTTAAATTATATTGGAACAGGTTCGGTTAAACTTTTTTTGACCACGATCTACTAAAAATATATTACACCTCTCAGCATCGACTTCCTTAAGAAAGTTTTTCTTTTATTATTGAGTATCTATAATTATTTAGAAACATTCTTGCATAAAGTGTATATTAACATACATAAAGTTATTCAAGATACTTACTGAAGTCTAATTAACATACTATTTTGTTGGTTTGAGTATTGTTTTAGTGTAACGTAGTCAGGGTCGTCGTCAGGGGGGGAGGGTTGGCAACAGGACCATTTTCCTCAAGTCTTAGTCTAAGAAAATGTAATGGAGGACCCTTTAAGGTCCAGGTTGATTAGAAATACTTGGCATTACCCATTAGAGACTAATGATTTTATTAAATTATTTTCAAACTATTTTTCTTTATGAACTATTAATAAATTTCAAAAAAATAAAATAAACTTAAATTTATAGTTAAGAGCTATTACACATGTTACATTTTTAGTTATTCTAATCACTAAGTCAGGGATTAAAATTGTGTGCAATACGACACACTTTGTGTAATACGAAATGTTAAGTGTTTAGTATGAAATTAAAAAGTGTGTTGTGGTTCTATTCTTTATATTATGGTATTTGTTTTTAATTTTACACTTTTTTATTAAATTATCTTACATATTTTCAGGGCCGCATTTAAAGGGGGGGGGGGGCACCGGTTACAACTGCCCCAGGCGCCAGTTTTTTGGAAGCGCCAAAATTTTGTGGTCGGAAATTTGCTTACTTGTGAATTATTGAACTTTTAAAATTATTATTTTTTTTGTTTTTAATAACAGTATCATAAGTTGATGTTAATGTATTTATAGCAATATAGCTATCAGCGATCCAGAATATTATTAATATACCTAATATTAGTTCCCAAATTTGTTATGATAATGTCAATAAACATAAGTTATTTATAATAATACGGAGTATTATGTTATCGCATGCGGCGTACGGTGGCGTGCCTACTACACAAAAATAGCATTGATTTTAGAATTTCTAAAAGGTTCATGAGGATCTATCTCTTCATATATTTACCGTGGGTATGCCCTTTAGAGGGACGCCAATTTTTTTTTTTTTTTTATTTGCACCGGGGTGCAAAATGTCTTAATACGACACTGCAAGTATACCTGTCCGTGTGTACATGTCAAGTAAACCCGAATACCATATAGCTCACACACGTAACTGAAAACCTGTGAATAGTCTCAGTCAAGCAATGGCTTCAGCACGTAGACGTGACTACGATGATGCGTTAGCCCTTTCAAGTCTGCTCGTAAATATTAGTCAAAAAAAAAAAGAAAAAGAAAAAGAAGCGAGAAAAGTGGTGTAAAGAATGATTATTGAAAAAAATTAATTTACCCACGTTAATTGGAACATGAACTACGTGGAGTATCTTGATCAACAAGAAAATAAAAAAAGATTATAATACCATAGCGAAGGTTTGTAAACATTGTCTACAGATGCTCCAGGTTTTAGTGATTGTTCATACTTTTTTTTCTCTTTCCTGACATTATTCAGCAAGCTATTAATTTTTTTTTTAACTGTTTCTTTAGTAGCTTCTGGTTCTAACTCTTTTAGTTTCACGGTTAGTTTATTATAAGCAGTTGCTTTCTTAATCCTGTCATGATACTCGTTGTTTATTATAAGCCAAAGACAAGGCTCAGATTTATATAGTTCAATAAATTCTTGAATAATATTGGGCTTGCGTGACATTTTTTCAAAAATGGAACGACGTCAACGTGAACCGTTTCGTTTTTTTTGATGTGGACAACTGAGACCTGTACCACCTATTCGAACCACATACGTGCAAGTATGCCTGAAGGTAGAACTTTACCACAAGTAAAAAATAAACTTTATAATTAAGTTCAGTTCACCTGTGCAGGCAGAGATACCTGAACAGTTCTATCATACACACGTTCCGGTTTCCCTGTACAGGTCACCTGAAAGCAGTGGCGTCATTTTAGTTTTTGATGGGAGGGGGGTCAACAATTTTGACCAGCCCATACTACCAGGAGAAATATAGAGTTTCACTCATTCGTTTTAACTTATAATTAAAGCACATACTTTATACATTTTATTATTATACAACTTAAATTTTTGTTAAATATAATTTTGTATTTTATAAACATTACCTAAACAAGGTTAATTTAATTTAATTTTTTTCTAAATTAATCTAAGCTATTAAGCGGATACATTTTTGAAAATATATTTACTGCATCATCATCTAAACTAATTTTTGCAGCAATATCACTTTCAACAGCTATAACCAACAAATCACTCAGCCGATCATTTCCCTCTGTCAATAGGTTGTACTTCATTTAAGGGAAGAAAAAAAAAACGTTCATTGGAAGCAGTTGCTACAGGCAAAGTTAAAAGAATATTTATAATTTTATAAGTTTCAGTAAAAGCCTTAGGAAGTTTATTTAAAATTTTAGAAATAGAAAAAAGATCATAAATTCCATCATCTCGTTCTTTATTAGAATAATTTAAGTTAATTAAGTTAATTAATTTAAGATTTTTTGCACATAAGAATTCAGTTTGAAGTATTAAATTATCAATATCAAAATAATTATAATGACAATTTTGAAATTGGCCTTTGGAAATTAAAATAATCAGGACTGAAAGATAAGAAAATATGACAAGTAAAAATGATTTCATTGCTAGAATTGCTGAAACGTTTATTGCTATTGTTTATTAATTGCTGAAGTTTATTCAAAAATCTAATATTATTATAAAATGGTCATATGTCTATTTATAGTTTATACTAATTGGCAATTACTAAATATTGTGACCATAAATAATTATCTAGTATGCAGTATTTTTAAAAAAATAAAAATACGCTTGATTTTTCACAAATAGCGGCTTATGGCTAAACGACAACAACCGGCCCTTTGGGATGCTTTTTAATCAGACAGAGGCAAATTCTCACCTTTCCACCCCCCAAATGACACCACTGCCTGAAAGTATACCTGTCAAGTATAAGGTTGCGTGTATAACTGCTTTATTGGTGTGTGACTTGTATGTACAAGAAATTATAACCGATTCTATACGACGTAAATTCTTCATATTATTGAGGAAAAGTATAGAATTAACGAAAATATGATACAATTACGTGGATTGTTTGATGTAATATAATATTTAATCGAATAAAACATATTATGCACTTTGTAACGGTCGTTACATAAAAAGTTGTACATTTTCAAATGATACAATGTACATCTGTATGGAAAAAAAAACAGAAAATTATTATTCGTTCGTAACTGCCAATTGTCTAAGTGACATTTTTCAAAAAAAAACAAGTATAAAGAAAGGTAAGGAAAAAAACGGTAAATGCTGTCGTCTCAACACGTTTGCCAATTTAAACGGCTTGGCCTCAAGATTAAAGGCGAACGGAACGATGTGCCAAAACTGATTGGATCCTCGACCGGATCGACCTCCATCGACTCGTACAATTGCCGTGGCCGCGTCAGGGTATTGTACTCGGATGGCGGCCGTAAGTCGAACGTCAACCCTTCTGGTAACCAATAAACGGACTCCATCCGGTCCGGTTCGTTCTCCAAGAGCGCAGACTGGCACAGCACATGTTATGTACTGTTGAATGTACTAGCGTTCCAAAAATATTGACCCATAGTCCAAATCGGATTTGTAGGCTGAGATGAATTATTACGAATAACTGAACGTGTCAAACTCGCAATGCGGTGAGACGAGATAATTCATCCGACAAAACTATATCAAATTCGAATCCCTATAGTTACCGAAGTTACCGTGTCGTAATGTACAAATCAACGTCATGATATTATCGTGTTAACGAATGTTTTTAGATTTTAAGTCAACAACACTTTACATCAATATTCCATTAGTTCTAAGAGAAAATATTATTTTTCAACACGATGGCGTTCCAGCTCATAACGCTCACACAATTCTGAAATATTTAATTGCACTGTTTCCAAATTGATGGCTAGGAACTTACGGACCCTATGAGAGCCTTACGGAATTTATGGGGTCAATTTAAAAAAATTGTGTATGCTGAACCTACTACAAACCTTCAAAATGTGATATATAAAATACCAGCAGCGCACAATGACTGGTGAACAATATATAGCTACAACAAATAAAGAATTTATGGTGCCTGCTGAACCATGCTATGTTCGTGGCAGAAAACAATTTGAACAATTTATTCGTTAAACTAATTAATAACTTAATAAGCGTACGACTTAAATAATAATTACATTTTTAATTAATTATAACTACATTTCAATAATAGACATCCATTAAATGCAACAAAATAAATAACGGAATTATTTACGTTTTTTTGTCTATAATAATTTTTTAACAAATTAAAGTGGAAATAAACATTAATTTAAATTATAATAACGTATAATACCTTTATAGAGGTGAAAATGTAAAACCTAAACAATCCTAGAATAATTATTTTTAGAAATAACTTTTTAAAAAACTGAATATATTAAACTGCTGTATCTTGGTAAATTTTAGGAAAGTTGGTTAAACTACCAAAATTCATTTAAAATTTGAGCAAAAAAATAATTAGTAAATAAAACAGGAGATTTTCATTTAAGAAAGAAAAGTTGTACTGCGCATGCAATACTTTAATTAAGAGTTATAAAAATGTGTATTTTTATGTAATTAAAACAA